CTCTCTCTCTCTCTCTCTCTCTCTCTCTCTCTCTCTCTCTCTCTCTCGCTGACTCGTTCCATTCTCCTTAGCCCAGTGCATATAAAATGAACGTTCGCGCGCCATGAGCAGAGTCAACAGAAAATAAATAGAGAAAATGGCATGTGGAATATTGCAGATAAAAGAAATAATCGTCTAATGATACTTGGTGTCACAATAGGGCGAAAGAGTTTTCGTTCTCTGTCTCACTGTGTGAAATGAGTGTGCAAGTGATAAGAAAAACACGCATCACAACTACGCAAATATATGCAAAAGAAGAACCGGGACACTGGTAACAAAAACGATTTGGTGTTCCACCCCGAAGAAGGAAAAAAAATGGTGACGAAGAAATTGACGCTGAAAAAAAGGCCAGCGAAAACATCGCCGTGTCAAATAGAAACGGGCAAAAATTCCGCCAACGCAGCAGCATATCAGTGGAAAAAAAAAGCGCTAAGAAAGTCACAATCGAGACGAAATGTACGAGAAAATGACAATGAGATGACGAAGAAAAGCACATGCGACCGATCCGGCAGCCAAATGCGTTGATAATTTTTGCCATTTAAATTTAATGGATATGATTGGAGCTTTCCACTATCTTTGTCACGCTGTAGCGCCTCCAAATGACAATAATCATGTTGCAATATGTGCAATTTCACTGGCATTCTCTTCCCTGACACCAGAGATGACTAAGCGCACGCTCAGTAGCGTATTCAGCAACTCAACTGAGAGTCGTTTTCTGCTCTGTGCGTTTACACTCACTTCGTTATGAGTTTATGTGCGCACTCTGACTTTGTTGTTAAGAAATGTGTGCGCACTCTAACTCTGTTGCCTATTATGGTTTATACACACATATAAAGAGTTGAGTGTGTATTGTCTTATTCTTTTCTTTGTGTTTCTTTCTTTGTATATCCTCTCTATTGTTTCTTCGTTGTGTACGAGTGCGGTGTAGCGCACTCCGTTGGTGCGCTTATACTCTCTTCATGGAGTGGGTTTGTTTGTGCTGCAGCGCAATATCGCACTGAGCATGTTTTAAGCACGCAAACTCAGTGTCCGTGCGGCCGTTGCTCGGTCACTCGGTGCGCTTCAGTCATCTCTGCCTGACACGGGTTTAAAGCCATTTTTTTTGTTCTTTCCCATCGTTTTAAGTCATTTTTCTTCCGTTCCATCGATCGGCTGCTCTCGCGAATCTATACGACACAAAGCATGTAATTTATAGGTTTGTCATTTGACATCGTATTCGGCGAAATTAAGTACATATTTGGGGCGGTATTTTTAGCTGTGTAACATTTAGCTGAGCGTGAGTACGAATGATTAGGGATGATTTTTCCCTTGTAACATTTGAAATTGTCGAAATGTCACGTGGTTTGATGCCTTGTGACACAATTTTACTTATTGCTTATTGTTCACATCGTTCAAGTACGCACTCACTTTTTGTTGATACACTGACGCCCGTATTTATCGGCTTAAATTCTCGCCGAGCATTTCTTTGTGTGGCAAACCGTACGCAACAACCGCAATCGAGGGAAATGATAACGCACAAATTTGTTGAACTAAGCACATTTCCAAGCAACATTGGAAGCAAATCGTCCCATTGTCTCCTGTCATCGAAGCCACATCCGCACGAAGCGTCCGCTACTTCTTCGGTGTCTATTTATTGATCTCTCTCACTCGATGGATGTGAAAAATGACGGTGAATTTATCTTTTATGTTGACTGAAGCATTTTAAGTGCCATAAATACCCTCCGAAAAAAGTAGAAGCGAGCATCAAATGTGTGCGTGATGGTTCGAACTATTTTCAGTTTGTGGTGACTCTTCGGTTTCACATTCCTCCTTCTGAGAGAAGAGGGATGAAATACGATACATAACCTGTTTGATTTTGCTCGCAGAGCTACTTGAGCACAAACACACGAGCAGCAATGGAAGGAAAATCGATTTTTCCGGTGCTGCATTGAATTGCTTAAATGGGACAAGCACCACTATTTCACAAAGAGACACATCTTCTATCTTCCTCTCCATGTGTATGTGCATGAGTGTTGGCTAATGTGTGACCATTTATTGAATCATATGGCAATGAAAATCGCGTTCGACGCCGATATCGAACATCCTCATGCTGTGATTTCATCTGAACATAGACAGGCACTCGCTCGCCTACACATGCGAACAATTCAGCGAATCAAGCTGTGTTTATGATGCCAACAGTCATTCCAATCATAAATGAACATGGGGCCGATTATGCGTTGGTTGGCACCACGTGCCATGACAATGTCTCTATCTTCCGTATCAATAAGTCGTTGCGAAAATCGAAAACCGAAAATCGAAGATTATTTCCTTTTTTCAATATGATTTTCCCGTCACAATGGCTCTCAACCAGATGATGAGGGCCCGAGACGAGAAAAAAAAACGAACTTAAACAAACTGCTCCATTTCGCTCGAGCATTTTTTGTTTTGTTCGACACTGATAATGACGCAATGGCAAGAAAATGCAAAGTTTGCGATTGAAACGAACAAATTGAAAACTATTTTAACTTGCAAATTGTGTTTCAGCATGATATCATGCGATGCATTTGGATCGATATCGTTTAAAGCAGCCGCTGCTCTTCAGGATCAGTAACATTAAAATTGCTCTGGCATTTTCATTTTGAACAACTTCATTTCGAATGCCTCGATGAGTAAGAGTGGGAGAAAGAGAAAGATACTTCATCAAGCAAAACTGTTAAGTGGAAATATTTTCATATTGTTTCCACATCCACGCGAACACACACACACACACACACACACACACACAATACATACACGCATAAGCCTTAGCTTCTTTGCGCTTCGACAAAAATGCTTCTTTGTTAACTTTTAATTGGAATAATTTGTTTCTTCTGCGTAGTTATTTCGACTTTACTCTTGATAGGGCCACACTGGCTTTTTTGCATACAAAATCGTTGTTAAAATGAGATTTTTGCAAAATTTCATTGATAATAATAGGTGAAACTTGATCGCATTCGAAGAATGGTTTTTGGTGCGCAATTTAAATGTTTGATATGGTAAAATTGTCCGAAGCCATACTAGAATTGAGCAGAGAAACCCTCTTGCAAACTGATTTTCCGAGAAAAAAATCACTTTTCAAGCTGATTTTCTCCGCAAAATTCGTCGTTCGAGGAACAAGTACCCCAATCATCGTTGAGCTCAATTGATTTTCATTTTTGAATCTATTTCTCAATTTTAATAGTCTCTTTGATTTGCAATGAATCGTTTTTCCATGACCACTTTACAGTGAATCTCTATTTTCCCTTTCGATTTTGCTTTGTTTCGACGAATCACCCATGTATTGAGTCGAACGTTCGAGTTAAGCATGGTAATGGGGTATGAATCACCGAATGTATCATGACGTCGTGCGTCACGAGGCAACAACCGTCGATTTTTCAACTTCAAGCCGGATAAATGAATCATTGTCAGATGGAGATTGCATGAAAAATGCTTTGCCCATAAATAAATTGCTGAAGGCGGCGCCGGTGAATATTCGCCACTTCACCGAAAAGAAGGAACAGGAGAAAATGTCTCTACATTTCATTAAACAAATTTAAATGAAATGATTTTGTCAACCCCGTCAATGTTGATCTTGTGCGAGTTCTGATTCTCAAAAGTTCTTCTTTTGTTCTGAACTTTTTGATAACCAAATTTTATTATTCAACGCTTGATTGCGTTCTATGTGACCACACAAAAAAGACAATAGCACTTATTATCAAAAACAAAGTGGCCAATTGTTTTTGAAACGGATTGCATTACAAATGTCTGCCGAAATTCCTTGTGATTTCTCAAAAGAGGAAACAAAGGTGCGTTTCATTCATCAAAATGTTGATTTGGCTGGTGAATCGCCTAGTGGAATGGCTTATGAAAATAATACCAGCACATTTACCATCCAATGATACCGTCAAACAAAATTTGCCCGAAAAATCGTCAACGAAACACAAAAGGCGATAAGTAGATTACGTCGCTTTGGTCTTTTGCGAAAACAGAAAAATCACTGTTTATTTCCGTGTTTTCCTTTCTTTCAACTCTGGTTGATAGCATTTTATGATTTAATTAATCAAAAAAAAACGCTGTCTTCCCTTCTATTGTCCATCTCATCTAAGAACAAAGAACATGATCTTCTGTTTTTGTTACACAAATTATCATATGAAACCCGACTTTGGTTTGAGATGGAAAACTTCTTTTTTCTTGTGTTAGTTCCGAAAATATCTTCAAACGTTGTGTGATAGCGGTTAAAAAAGGTTGAAGAATGAAATCATTAACATCTTTTCAACCATAAATCCATCCTAAAGGAGAGATAATTTCTGAATGATTCCCATTCAGAGTTTTTCTTCTTCCCTTGCTGTTGTCGTTTTTATTTAAATTTTTTCTTATTGTTATTCAACAATGCCAAAAAAATGTGTTTTCCATCGAGGAATTTGATGCTTATTTTGACCTAAAAAAACACTTGACGAGGGTTGTTCACTTTTTGGGCACTTTATATGCTGCCGTTCAAACTAACGTTTATTTTTAGATTGAATTCCACGGAAATTGTCTTAACATTCCTTCGAATTGAATTACTCCCCTGGCAACTGTATGGGCAAAGTTACCAAGAAACTTTATGAGGCAAACAGGGCGCAACTTCATGACCATTTCAAATAGCCTATTTGTGTGATCATAAATAATATCATATGATTCGTTGAAATAATTTCATTAGATGCAAGAGATGAAAAAAGAAAATAATGTCTTTCAAAGACCTACTTACGTTTTTCCTGTTGAATGAATGGCTATTAAGGATTCGTTGGAATCTGAAACGAGAAAAAAGACGTTCAAATTAAATTTTATGCAAAATACTGAAATGGGATTCGTCAATTGCTCCCACTTTCAGTTCATTCAAGGTTGAATTTTATTCGGAGAAACTAATATTAAGGCGAATTCACGTGGCATTGTCAATGTTGAAGTGAGACTCAATTCGCTTAATGAGCAATGTGATTTTGATTCCGAGCAAAACATGTTCCTTTTTCGAGCGTAGAAAAAATGTGTATTCATAAGAAAATGTGGGTATTAATTGTGGTTATCGTTCATTTCTCGATAAGAATTGATTGAATTTGTACACTTCGATGGCGAATAATTCCGAGATTAACCTTTTAAAAAGGAAGTAGAACAAATATGTCGGCCCCATAGGCAGATGTGGCTGTATGTAATTCGAAATGAATAAAACATTGCGTTGTAATGAATGTCTTTGTGCGGCAAAAGAGAAAAAGCAGCGCTTTTCACACTCACGTGGATACGGATCGATAGCGCACATGACAAATCGAGAGGGAAATCATGATACTACTTTCGGGTGCATCGCATTGAAATCGTCAACGTATTCGTGCTCAACGATGCACAACCGAAACGAAACTGACCGCGCGTTGATTCTCTCATCATCAAATTATTTTAATGAGATCATAAACGGAATGGCCCAGTGAGCAATGAAATAGATTCGTTTGGAGTGCGTGACAGGCGACAAAACACACAGAGTATCATCACTTGCCCGCTGTCTGATGTCATTTCAAGTTGAGATGTTAGTTAGGGTATGCTCGGTTGAAATCTGGAACATTTCCTTTCACACCGATGATGAGCACTTTTCCTCAACGAAAATATCCATTTTGGAAATGGAAAAAAGGACGGTCGCATTGTTTTATGAAGCGTTACAAAGACAAAAATCCGATTCAATGAACAAACCAATTAGAATCCGTCGCTCAGGTCAGTGATTTCGTTGTCGAATGTGGTTAAAGATGGAGCCTTTTCTGATTAAAACCCAAACTGTTTTGATTAGTCCAAAAGTTTTTGGTGGGCATTGATGAAGCTGTTTAATTTTATTCAAGGAATATATTCCAAGAATCAGACTGTGAATGAAACTTGGAACGAAAATGCTTGCTGAAAAGCTCGAATTTGATGTCGTATCGTTTCACTGTGAAAAATTGTGAAGTTGAATGAATTTGTATTGTGACATACTTAAAACCCCAACTGGAAAATCCCTTGTTTTTGGCAGCGATGCAAATCCTTTTAAAACGATGGTAAAAATCGATGACAGTCAATTTGATAGCAGATATCAACACTTTGGCATCTTCGATATCATTTGGATCACACACATACACCGTGAGAGAGAGGGAGAAAGAGAGAGTGTGTAAAAGAGTGAGTGAACGAAAAGACTTTGAGCAAGCGAAAGCTCTTTATCAAATGTATTCGATTGACGAATGATTCGCACATGGAATTATATTCGTTCATGAGCGAAATGATTTTGTGTTTGACAGAGAAAAAAAAATTACCATAAACATGAAAACACCATTCGTGAATGTTGGTTGTGGCACTTGTAACACTTTTTCTTTCTTTCTTTCATCCAGTCTCTCTCTCTCTCTCTCTCTCTTTTCTCTCTTCGAGCAATTTCTGACACCTCCATTCGCACACGCAAAGCAAAAATAGAACGCACGTTTCTTCGTCGCGTGTTTTTGTTTGGATAAATTGGTGGATGAAAAAGAAAGAAAAAAAAATTGTGTGTTATTCGGATTTCGCGTTTGCCATGCATTCCACGTATACGGGTGTCAGATTAGAAACGAAAATCCCCGGTTGTGCCACCAAACATTCACATATGCTGTGTTTGATTCGTTGTTCGCATATTTAATAAGTCGAGATTTATATTTTTCGCGCTCACAAACTCACCGAATTTCAACCAGCAATCGCTTTGTTCTATGCTACGCGGAATAAAATTAAAAACGACTACTTCGTTGAAATGTATGGCAATTTCTTTGCATCACAACAAACGGCAAATCCATTGCGCCATGAAAATGGAAAATGAATTCGTCGCATGAATTTTTTTCACCTTTTTCTGTCCCCCTCGCCTATTTTCGCTCATTCGGTTGATATATTTATTTTTTATCTGAACAAATATAGAAAGGCAACAATTTATTCCATAGAAAATTTCATCGGTAAACACACATATACACTCCCCCCAAAAAAAACACTGATCTAATGTAATATTCTCAAGGATCCATTTACCAAACCAAAAATGGAACAAGCAACAGTATGGAAAAAATGCGACAGCACGATACCGATTCTGAAGAATAACGTTATTTGTTTATTATTATTTATAAGAAAATTCAAGCCAACGATACACACACTACGCACAACAGGCGCGCGCACTCTCTTTTTTCTGGTCTTTTTCAATTGTCATCAATTCGATTTACCAGACAAACGTAACCGAAATAAAAACGGAACATAAAATGACAGTTATATGGAGCTTGCACACTGGAATTGAGATGATGAGAATCAGCGCGAGAATGGAGAAAAATGACATGCAAAGGAACAAGCGGGACAAAACCTGAAATTTTAACATTATGAACACAAAAGTGTCATGAATAAAATAGAGATATGATCGGTTCGTATCCCATGCGACGGGAAACGTACCGAAACCACTCTTTTTTTCCATCAACATTGTGCTTACTAGACTAGACATTGATTCTTCTTCAGTTGCTAAGTCGCTGGTTGCAGCTATTTTGATCATCATTATTATCACATCAAACAAATATGTTGACTTTGACACATACTCAATCGAATGAATCAATTTTGATGGGAATTTTTTTCGCTCTCGTTTTTCACCGTCACTGAAATAAAGCTTGAAAATGGATGCTTGTTAGCAATTTATTAAAAGAAATGATTGATTTGAATAAATTGCATGGCTATGATAGGGAGAATAAAAGAGACAATAGCTCTTTTCGGAATCATTCATTTGAATTAACGCCGCTTTGACTTTCGAAAATTTAACACAATGTCTACAGGCTTTGTGTCTCGGTTTTTCTGTCGACATTGCAACGCGTCACATTCTGTCGAAATCGATTTTTGTTTTGAATTGAGCAATTAGTTGCAGACGGTTTGTGTATCGTGTCTAATTTGGTTGCCAAGTGATTTTTGAGAATAAATTACTCTTCCACTCTGACCATTAGATTTCTCCTCTCGCTCTCGCTTTCTCTCCGTCTTTTTCTCACTCTGTCTCTCTTACTCCTAGCTATTTGTGAAGACTGAAGGATGTTTGCGTTGTTGGTTGTTATGCGGTTTAGTTGGCATTAACGGGAATTAATTCGGAAATGAGGGAATCGTTGCCAATGGCAAAATTAGGCTTAAGATAGATGACAAAACGCACATACACATACACTCACCAAGCCCGAGACATTTGAAATGTGTGGATGCATTGATAATATCATGGATGAAAGACTGTATAATTTGTCATGAACATAGACAAAATCGAGAGGTTTCACCAAATGTATTATTTCAATTAGACTAGAGAATGACATCCATCGAGTGTATGGAACAAGTAGCGTCGTATCGTACTTCAGAAGACAATGTTTAAATGTCTCATGGAATATGCGACATCGACAATTCTCTAACGTGTTGCTGTCAAATCAAATGCTTAACCTCATTAAGTTCCCGAAACAACGGAAATGAGTGCGGCGCGAGGGAAATTAGACGCCCAAAATTGATGGAATATCTCTCATGAATTTATTCGCCCGAATTCAGCCCGAGCCAAAAAGCTTTCCACTAGGTGGAACATTTTATTTATAGAACATCGAGCGACGCACGTTGAGCGTCTACTTTTTATCAAATGGGCCATATTCAGTAAGTAAGCTGCATATAGGATTCATAGAGGCGCCATCTATCGCTGAGTTTTTGAACTCTTATGTATTCCATTGACTTCAATGATATATTTGGGAGACATAGTGGCGCCACGCTTTATTCTCATGCTTTATTCGTAAAGTTTTAGAAGAAAGTTCATACGCTGTCATCAATGTATTTACATTGGCTGTATGGTCTCATTGCTTTTTATACAGTGCAAAGAAAAAAATGTCAGTGAACCTTGATTCAAATATAAATTTGACAGTACGATATATTAAAGATTGGTTCTGTGTTTCGATTAATAAAATGGTATTCGCGTCAAACACGACTTTTCGTTTCATTTATTATTATTACTACTGTTTCCATCTCGTTTATTTTTAGACAATTCAATTTGATTTTTCAGGAAAATTGAATATTTTATCGACAAATTCTAACGCTATTTCCAAAATGACAATTTCTAGGAATCGAATATATATGAATTTTGATTTGAATGCTAGGCCTAAACTAGTTGTGGTATGCGACAAATCGAAAAACAAAACAAATCAAATGAAATCCATTTGAAATGTAATATTCACCGTTTTACGGATAAATATCGGATAAAAGTCTTGTTTGTTGGCTTAGCAAACATGGTGGTTGGTGTGCATGATTCAATGCGGAGTTTTTGCGTCGAATACCAATAGAAATGAATGCAAATATTTCGGCTGTTTTCATGTAGCAACAGATTAATCGATTGAATGAATTGATACACATAAATCCGATAGGTGTATGATCGGGCTAAACACTTGCCTCCCCTCATCTCCGAACATTGAATCGAATGTAATTTTCATGTCGATTTGTTGCAAAATATCGCATCCAGGTGTGGACAAACACATACTCCAGCAGAGAACGGCAGTGAGCAAGTGCACATCAAATGGTATGCAAAGAAATTGCATTATGTTGACTGAAAATCCATATGCTCATCTGTCGTTATCAATGGATATTTCGATTCGGATGATCGAAATTTAATTTACATGCAAACGAAATAATCGGCAAATGGAAAATCGGCCTGTAACTCATTTGCAGCAACATTGAGATAGTGAATGAATGATAGTGAGAGAGTGGGTGTGAATGAGAGAGAGAGAGAGGAACAAAAAGGAACAGAGTGCAGACGAGACAC